TGTTGTGTATTTTCTGGTAATCAAATGAACATGCAGAACATTTGTATTTAAATACGTATTCTTTGCAGTTTCATATTCACAGACAATCTATATATATGTACTGACCAGTTTTTTTTTATTTATTCATCAAAAAATAAGACAAATTCCATGAAATGCCGCGTTATACAGTAAATTCCATTTTTATGACTGGATTCCGTCCATGTTTTCTGCATCACAGAAATCATAGGGCCCTACTAATGTAGCAAACGAATATGGTAAGCTCATTGTGAGAATAAAAGACGGGGACATTGTTACTTAGCATTGAGTCTCTCCAACTAGGTGACAACGTAGCGTTAAACCATCATTCAACTGACTCAAGCCACCACCGCACTGCCGTCTATTGGACTGCAGAAAGATACTAACTTTTCAATCTGCTACGTTACTGACTGTACTGACAAACTATGCTGACACACCATGTCTACACTGGGCATGACAAAGCGACCATTGAAAATCATTTGTACTTTGTCAGTACGTCATAAATAGAACGACGAACGAGGCATCAGTTTACTGTCGGGATTTGTCATGTCGCGTCGCGCTGCATCCAGTGTAGAGACAGCATCACTGATTATAATGGGTTCTATTGTATTTTGTTACACCGCGCTGCGCCACTCGCGTCCGGTGTAGACACCCAGTTAGGAAATGTGATGTGACCGATGTGATAAGCATGAGTTCTGGGCCGCGGCGTGGCCGGTATAAACACAAGCATTGACTGAGTGGCCGCGATCAGCTCCGGTGGCCGTGGAGCCGTATGCACAGCAGAAGCGTGCCGTGATGCACATATCAGCTCTAACGTCACTGAATCTGCTGTTAAAAATGAACCATCCATTCATCATATCATCATGCAAAGCAAGTGATTAATGACAACATTTTCATTTTGGGGTGGAGTAACCCTTTAATCTGCGTTATATGTTCTGTAAAAAAAATCATATTCACCGATATATCTGCGACAGGCTCATATCGGCCGATAATATCGGCAAAACGATATATCGGTCGGGCTCTACAAATATCTACTGAGAGGTTTGGAAATTTGAGTATGGAATTTTGAAATGGAAAATGTGTAGGAACCCTGATATATATATATAGTTTATTATTTAATACATTAATATTAAATATTATAATTATATATTTATATATTAATTATATATAAGTGAAATTTGTATTTGTATCATATATTTTTGTTGTTCGATTAATATATGTATATAAATATAAATGAATATGTGTTATTTATGACTATTTAATACATTTACATTAAGTATGCATCTAAGTTATATATATATATATCTTCCTTTTATAAATAATAATGTTAGTTCATGTTGCCTAATGCTATGTTGTAAAGTGTTACATTTGGTGATGTTATCAAAACCTGATATAAAAACAGTGGAAGTCTATGAGATGTCTTGAAACAAGCGCGTGCGTGCTTTGGCAGGGATTTTATCATGAACACACTCGTGGTCACTGTGGGTTTTTCTCTCCTTTAATTAAGTGCTTTTGTTAATTACCGATCCACCCGGCGAGTCTCAGACCTTTGTCACTGTCACAACACAAAGAAATCAATTATTCAGGTGCTGCACAACTTACTGATAAAGTTTAATGCGCCGTGAATATAAAACAGCTTGTTTTGTTTGGTCTTTGACGGTGAACGTGCTCGATATGACCAGTGGAAGAATCACGATAAACACATCAGTCATCAGGTCTAAAGGGACTCTGTTTACTGTCTTAACACACATTATTACTCAGAATTACTCCGTGGTGTGTTCTGAAGAAACTAAAGTGTTTGTCTTCAATATCTTTCATCAAAATGTAATAACTTTGTCCACCTTTGAAACGACTTTCCTCTCTGCCTGACTTCAGTTTCATGTTAACCAGTACGCAGATAGCAGTCAGTCATTGTTTTTAATTCCTCCTTCAATATTGTTCTTGGAAATGCCTGTTTTTGGCAACACAATGGGAGTTTTTCATCAGAATTTCTAAATGAATCCAACAGAGAAGTGTTTCTCAACGGGGGCGTTCGGATATCAAGCATTTAGACACAATTAAACACAGTATGCTTTCTAGTTTAGAAAAATTTATATGAATGCTTTTTGTTTGCTGATTGGCTGCGTGCGGTTGGTTTGAATACCACATTTCTAAAGAGTTTATTCAGTGCTCATAAATGTAGCCTAATTTCTATTCACGTGACTTTTTTGCTCCTTGGGAGATTAATGATATTTCAAGTCCAGTCAAATCAAATGTCATGTTGCATTCAATTACATATTTTTAAAATTATATATGGGCTAATGTTGGCTGTTATACATGGGTTAAAAAAATACATGCTTTTAAAATATATATTATAGATAAAATATAGCCTATAATATACACCACCATTCAAAAAAAGCTCAGTATGATTATGAAGCAAATCTCTTCTGCTCAGTAAAGTCGCATTTATTTGATCAAAAAATAGGCCTACAGTAAATCTACAGTTTGAAAGAACTGATTTCTATTTGAATATATTAAATGTGTTTTCCTCTCAGCTTTCAGTGTCACATGATCCTTCAGAAATCATGCTGATTGCTGCTCAAGAAAGAGTTCTTCTTCTTATTATTATTATTATTATAGCTAGTACACCATACTGACAAAAAAAAGCAAGATTTGAAATGTATTGAACTCATGACTATAACAAAGATATAAATCAGGGCAGCACTAAAATATGTTTCCCATCTTTTAGTTTTCTTTGAAGATTTGTAAGCAAACTTTGAAATATTCTCACAAAAGTTTGCATTTCTTCCATTTGCATGTGTAAATGTGGTATTTACCCTCTAAA